TAGAGAGGGAAATATTTTGTAGTGTTTTGAATAAAAGTGTTTTGCAAAGGTGTCTGTTTAAACTACTTACTTCATCATACTCTCTAAAGCATTAGAACTTTATTCTTGTTTTTGATAAAGAGATGGCAAACAAGTTTAAATTAGCTGAGCTGGAAGCTCTTGTGAGGCTCATTGAAAATGCAGCTTTTCCTGCATTTAGCTGCCTTCCTACTTCTATTTTTACTAGCTTGTTAAAAACTTCCTATTATTTCGAAAGCTATTAAGAGTTTTGAATTCAGTTTGTGACATCGTAAGCCAGGAGTCAGAGTTGTAATGAAACAGAGAGGCACCTTATAAGTTACCTACTTCGAGGAGGAAACTAAAATGGTAGCTATTGTGTCTCATGACTGATGTCTATAGCCACTTTTAAAGAGGGTCTGCAGGCCATAGTCATAGCTCTGTACTGACGGCTGGAGGGGGACCAAAGGTTTGGAGAAATGGGGCAGAAAATAATTTTCTCACTGTCACTGTGTATAAATATATCTCTATTGGCACCACCATTGCAGAGTAAAAACAAAACAAGAAAAAAAAAGTATTCCAGTGTCTTCCATTGTAATAAATTAAATACCATTCTCATAAAATTCCAGTGTACTTTAACCTAATTTGTCATGAAGCATCTTCAGTTCCAAAAATATCTTTGTTTTGTATAAATGGCAAAAAAGGAATGTAAGACAAGATTAGAGATGTGAGTAGATAATGGCTCCCAAATGAAACAGAAATGGCAAAAAAAAAATGGTATTGCATAAATATCTTTCTTTAAATGAACGATTTGAAATATTGCACAATTAGAAATCAGCTCAACTTTGACCAAGCGTAAAAAAGAGAACAAAAATTATACAAGGCAGCTATCCCAGGTAAAACATTTTGCTGATCAAATTTGCTCTGGACATGGGAGAGAGTGACTAAAATTTATTGATTATAAAAAAAAGAGACAAGCTTGTGATCTATATTACAGTTTTTACTTTAAGTCTGCTGACTTCCAAAAGGAATTACATCTTAATGCAGAAAGACAGACAAATAGAGAGACTCATTCACTAAAGAAATAACACGTTGTCTGTAAAAGATCAACTTCTTAGCACAAATAATAAATGGAAGTCTAAGAAGTATATCAGTTAACAGTATTCACGGTCTATTTTATGTGTTCATTAAATCTCCTGTATTTCAAATGGTATGAAGTATATTTTAGTATTATTGGGGGGCTGCATGACTGAACAAGCAAAATATATTTTCTAAATTTTGCACAAATTACAGTAAAAATAACATGAATACAGTTGGAATTGTATTGAAACATTTTATTTTAAGTTCTGAGAAATATAGATACGATTAACCTGAGGAAAATGAGAACTGTTAATTGCTTTAGAATTGTGAGCTGAAAGCTAATGGTTAAATGATTAGCAGCTTCAGTGATGACTGATCCAACACGCCATACTCGAGGTTGTTCAAGGAAAACTCATCAAAAATAATTGCAAAACAAAAACGTGAGAGCAGAGATGTGCACAATGCTTCTCTGTAGTAAGTTTAATTTAACTTTGAAAGAGATTACACATAAATTTGAATCTGGCACATATTTTTAAAAAGCTTTAATTTTTAATTTTTTTTGTCTTCTATTGTGGAAAAAAGTTCAGAAGAGATCTTCTGGAAGAAAGAGAGATATTTGAAGAAAAAGAGTGGTGAAATAATTCCATTTAAAACTATTTAAAACAGTTTAAAATAATTTCAGTTCTTTAAAAAAAATACTTGAAGCTAGCAAAACTATTACAATTCTACTGAGTTCTCAGACCCTCTTAGAATATAAGATTTTCATCAGAATTTAGGCATTTTTTCCAATTAGTTTTCCAGGGAATTAAAAAAACAGGTAATAAACTTATCTTCCTCTATGACTGTCCAAGGCAAGGTAGCTCAGAACCTGAATGTGCAGTGTATTACAGAACTGGGTCTCCTGTCTATTTTCTATAGTTATATATATAAAAAGGTTTCCTTCGTCTAACTCTCTTCAAACATTTCCATTATTCCAGTGCTTTTTATTTAATTGTTATTACTTCAGTCTATTTTTCTTGTTTGCTAACTTACTTTTAAAGGTAAATGTCATTGCTTTAGTGTAGATTACCATCAAATTCATTACATTTAAAGCAGGAAGGCTTACTCCAACAGGAGTCTCAAAGGACAGAAAAGACCTCGCTGGTACGTACATCCATTAAGCAGCCAGGCTTGCCAAGTCCATGTGCATTAGCTACTTTTGTAACTTTAACAAATTTCATCTGAGCTTTCATTCTGCTGACCTAATTTAACAAGAAAGAAATTCAATAACAACCCCTAATATTGAAGCATTATTTCCCAAGAGGAATTTAACAACACTTCTACATCAAATAATAATGTGTGAATAATGGAATATATATACAGATGGCAACAAGAAAGTGAAAAAAGAACCAAAAAAACCCTACACACAAGAAAGAAAATATTATATCTCCTTTTCAAAAAATCCCAAAACTTCCCAGTATTTAGGGAAACTGAAAATTTCCTGAAGAGCTAATTTCAAGTTTGAAATTCCCATCATCTTTGGGAAGAAATATTTCTAAATATCTGAGAATAAATCATTTCCAAGTTGGAGCACCACATCTCCAGTCTGCACATGCTGATATCATTCAGCCTATGTTATTAGTGGTTTATATTAGAACAGATTGTTCTGAGTTGTATTCGAAGTTAATGAATCCAGTAAATGTCAGAATTTTAGGAGAAAGGAAGAATGGGTAAATGAAATGATACATAACCTAGTGCTTATTAAGAGAGATGGAAATGAACACCTGTGCATTACTGTGATCAGCCTTGGGGCTAAAGTCCTTGAAAGCAGTAGCTTTGGGAAGTTCTTTAGTCTTCCAAATATGGGAGGAGAGGGGAAAATGTTCTTTTAATTGCAAGAAATCACTACATTTCATATGCTTTCCACTCTAAACCCCTGACATTTTATTGCAAACTCTTTTAGTCAACACAGGCATCTTAAGTAGCACAATATCAAACTGGAATGCAAAAAGAATTTCTGAAAGTTTTACTTTGAAAAATAAAATGCATTTAAGATGATAGTGAGCTATAATATAATGTTATTGAAACCAGAGAACACAAGGGATTGCTATGTGCAATGTTACTTATCTATCAGAACCAGGAAAGAGGAGAAGAATGAACCCAAGCTTTTTACTATTTTGGGTTTGTGCCAGAATGTACAAGGAACTGCAGTCACCATCCATGCATTTTGTTTTCTGTGGGCATGCTTAAAAAAACACCAACAAACCATCCCAACAGGTAGGAAATCAAGAAAGAGATCCAGGAGACCTGCATGGTTAACCAGGGAACTGCTGGGCAGACTCAGGTGGAAGGGGAGGGTATATAAATTGTGGAAGGAAAGGCTGGCCACTTGGGTGGAGTATAGGGCTGGGCAATGTAGGCCCACTGCTGAACGAGGTGGGTGCCGTGGAGGCACAGGACAGAAAGAAGGCAGAGTCTCCTTTGGAGACATTCAAAACCCGCCTGGACGTGTTGCTGTGTGACCTACTGTAGGTGATCTTGCTCTGGCAGGGGGGCCTGGACTAGATGATCTTTTGAGGTGCCTTCCAACTCCTAATATTCTGTGATTCTGTGAAACCACCCTGGTTAAAATTTTTACAAACTATTAAGGACATAAATCATCAGTTTTCATGATTTACTGAAAGAAAGCATTACCAAATGAATTCACTAGTAAAAAGTGTTACTCTGACAGTGTTGGACAGTAGTGAAGAGAATCTGGCTAAATTTCTTTTGCTGAAATAATCACAGAATCACAAAATGCTGGGAGTTGGAAGGGACCTCTCAAGATCATCTAGTCCAACTCCCCTTCTGGAGCAGGATCACCTAGGGCAGGCTGCACAGGAACGCATCCAGGCGGAGTTTGAAAGTCTCCAGAGAAGGAGACTCCACAACCTCCCTGGGCAGCCTGTGCCAGTGCTCTGTCACCCTTACAGTGAAAAAGTTTTTTCTGATTTTTTTTTTTTATGGAACCTCCTATGCTCCAGCTTGTATCCATTGTCCCTTGTCTTGTCATTGGACATCATTGAGAAGAGCCTGGCTCCATCCTCTTGACACTCACCCTTGACATATTTATAAGCATTAATGAGGTCACCCCTCGGCCTCCTCCAAGCTAAAGAGATCCAGGTCCTTCAGCCTTTCCTCATAAGGGAGATGTTCCACTCCCACATGGTTTTGTTAGAGAAAGGAAAAACCAAAAGAAACAAAGCAAAATTTTTTCTTAAAAGTGAGACAAACAAAAGACGAGTCAGGAGAAGCCTGCCTTCTTTCTGCAACATCACTTCCCACAGTGAGTTTCATTTCAGTACTTTCCAAAATCACTTATAACACTTGCAGAACAGGCCCTCATTTTTTTAATACTTCCTGCGTTTTAAGGGAAAGTTTGCGTCACTCTATATTACAAGTTCATCTTTTTAAAAGTTTGTTTCTTGTCATGTTGTATTTCTTCTGATGCATATGATGTTCTCTTTTAGCATTTAAAACACCCCGGGGAACTGATGTTTTACCATTTCCTTATGGAAAAAGCCTGAACCAGCATTCGATTCTCTTGATAGTAAGGGTAATAAAACACTGGAATTCTTGTAAATCACATCAAGTGGAAAACGTGAAGCAAAGGTAGCAGTATTTAATGTGTAAGTTTCAGCATTATTAATCCCCTAGTCTGTAGAATTTTGTAGATTGAAAGGTTTCAAGAAATAGTTACTCCTCTCAGGGCACTCCTACTTTTTTTTTAGGAAGTATTTTGACAGCAGCAGCTGCCTAGCGTATTCACAGCGTTCTCCCTATCCAGATAACCTTTATATTCTGAACCAGGTTGCTGCTGTATCTGCAGGATACAGAAGCAGGGATGTTGAACTCCAGGGAGTGAATGCATGTCAACTCATGTTGTCTCTTCCCTGTTTACTTTCAGGATTTCGTTACTATGTACAGTTCGGAGAAGAGTTGCTGGAAACTGCTTGACTGCATCAGCAACTAGAGACATAAAAAGCAAGTCAGGAATAGCAAAACTGTAGACTCTGTCGCTCGCTGGCTTGAAGAGCATCAGCAGTGGAGAACTATGACAACACAGCAAGTCCTGTTACTTCTTTTGCTCTGGATGTGGCTGCCGCATCCCTGCCGTACAGAGATGCTGTTCAGAAGGACTCCTGATCTCAGACCCAAAAGTTTTGTGGGCCGTGCATCAGGGAATGATGGAAAAGTGATCCACCGCCAGAAGCGAGGCTGGATGTGGAACCAGTTTTTTCTCTTAGAGGAATATACAGGATCTGATTATCAGTATGTAGGCAAGGTAGGTTTTTTCTTAACGTTTTTGTGTTGTTGTCAAGTTTACTTATCTTTCTGCAGAGCTCTAGTTGTCTATGTTTTATTCTAATGCACAAGACGTAGATTTTCAGGCAACATATATATATATAGTTTGTCCTGCTATAATCACTAAATTAATATCGCTAGTTAAAGTTATTCAGAAATATTTGAATAAAACAAATGAAGACATTTTTAATAAATTTGATTGCTTTAGCACATTGTTTCCACCAGCAGCACACTCACTACTTCTACTGTATCAAAACATAGTATTTTATAATTAATTATAAAATTATTTTTCAACCGTTTATCTTTGAATGTTTCATGTTTCATACAAGATGAGACATTATTTTTTTGTGCTTATGTTTGGAGAATACAATGTATTTTGAAGAAAAAATATTCTTCATCTTTATTTCCCCGATTTTCAATAAACTAGAGTGAGTGAAATTCATTAGAAATCGTGATAGAAATGAGGTAGTTAGGAAGTGAACTATGATCAAAATCAGCAGAACTGCACATATCACTGCATAGCATACTGGATGCATACATAAAGGGCACTGGAAGCATCCTTTAAATTATTTTTGGTTAACAATGTTTTTCCACGTGATTTATTGAAAAATATGTATAATGCCACAATAATATTCAAACCAGTACAAGAATTAATTTTAAATTATAATTTGCTTGAAGTTGGAAGCTAATGCCAGCAGTAGTAGGTACCAGATAACACCAATTGTTGGTGATAAAGACAGAAATTTGATTTTCTGTAATCCATGTTTTCATTTTTACGTGGTTTTGAACTTGTGTAATACTTGAAAATCACAGAATAGTTGCATTTGTCAAACACCTCTGGAGATCTTCTAGCCCACCGCTCGCCTCCTCAAAGCAAGGTCAGATAGAGCTTACTCAGGACTATGTCTGGTCAGTTTTTACATATCTCCAAAGGTAGAAACTCCATAATCTCTCTGGGAAACCTGTTCAAGTATTTGACCACCCCCATCATTTAAAGACAATTTTCTGTATTTCAGTTTGTGCTTGTTGCATCTTGTCCTGTCACAGGGCACCTCTGAAAAGAGAATAGGTTCTGACTATCTCACTTCTTCCCATCAGGTATTTATGTAAATTAATAAGGTCTTCTCTGAATGATCTCTTCTCTGGGCTAAACAGTCTCGGCTCTTGCAGCCTCTCCAGATTCTTAATCATCTTAGTGGCCTTTTGCTGGACTCTTGCTGGTAGCTCCACATCTGTCTTCTACTGGAGAGCCCAGAACTGGACACAACACTCTAGACATATCTCACCAGGGAAGAGCAGACGGGAAGGACAGCCTGTCTTGATCTCCTGGTGATGCTTGTCCTAAGGAATCCCAGGGTGCTGCTGACCTTCTTTGCTGCAAGGGCACATTGCTGGGTCATGGTCAGCTTGCTGTCCACAAAGACCTCAAGGTCCCTCTCTGCATAATTGCTCTCCAGGCGGTTTGTCCCCAACATGTACTAGTGCATGGGATTAATATATTATAAAATGTTTCTTGAATTGATTAAGGGGCATTCCAGAAAGGGAATGCTTATTAAAATTTATGAAATTTAAATGGTAAGCAAAAATTTAAGAGTGCAAGCTTGTGAATGAGCAAACTGCCTTTCTGCTTCCACTTTTTATTTGTTGCTTTCATTTTGTAATTTTAGCCCTAGCATTTGAACAATACAGCCATTTCCAAAGCATGTTGAGAGCCTTCTAAATAGTCACTATATTTATTCCATAGACATATCAAGTGTAAATGTCTCCCAAGTGTTCCGGAGTATCTAGGCCACTACCACAGTCCAGGCCAGACTGCTAACTTAGGAAAATTTACCTTGCCCACCAAATAAAAAGTGTTAAGCGTATCAAAACAGTATGCTCCTGTATTTGGAAGTGTATTGTTCCCAGAAGTCTGTGCTTTGCAGGGCACTCTGAATTTCAAATTACTTAGGCTTCTTCAGAAACATCCTGATTATTTTTTTAATTGCATTTTTTTAATATTGATGATCTTAAATTATAAAATATGAGTGCTGTTACTTAATAATTGTCTTCCAGTCATGATGAGTGATGAAGGCCCTTTATAGGGAAAAGAGTTAATGGTTTTGTAGGCTAACTTATCTGCATTAGTAAAAGGGAGACATTGATAAACACAGAAGTGCTTTAGCTGAGAGAATATAAGTGTTTGTAAATGGGAAGCAATAAGTAAAGATAACTGAAATGGCAAATAAAGAGAACAGAACTGAGAAGAAAATTAAGGAGCAGTTAAGACTGAACGTTCACCTTTTTTGCTCTAGTTAGAGCAAAGAAGTTGCTAATCTGAGTAAGCAAGTTTCAAATTAACCTGAGTGCATAATGTCCCTTATAATCATTTCTGATGAGTTAGGGAAAAGAAAAGGCATGTAGAACAAAGATTATCATAGTGCTGTATTTGCATACGGAGAGTTTTACACAAGGAATTAAAAAGAAACAGCTTATATCTGGAGCTAAAATTTGGTTGTTACACCAGAAAATGTTTTAACAGTCCGATAGCCTAAATTCTCAAATTATTAGAGAAAAAATTTGTTACTAAAATCAGAGTACATAAATTTCAAAGTAGCTGTCTCTTTTCCCTGGTGTTTCTGTCACCTTTCCAAAGGCCACCTGGGTCTTATAGTCAAAATGCTTCTTAATGTTTCCTTTTATCTCATTTTTATCCAAAGCCAAAATTGCTTAGGTAAGTGGGTGATATAAAATACCATCTTCCCATTGCAACATATTTGGAAATGGTGTTTGGAAATTATATGAGATAATAAGAGGACAAGTTAGAAGTCAATGTTTCATGGTCAGTTACTGGGAGAGAATGTTTGTCATGTAGAGGTTTCAGTTAAAAATAAGTACTAAGCATGACTTTTAAGACTGACAATAATAGAGCACAATCGTGTCAGTGAAAGGTAGTATGGTAAATGCCTTCCATGGATGGTTTAATGAAAACTTGCAAGTTTTGATACAAGAGTGAAGAATATTATTTGACTTCTCTATTTTACCTTTTTACTCACTGATAATTGAATGCAAGCCTTTTACCATTTTACTCCATTTTTGTTTTCAAAGAAGAATAAAAGCAGATGCATTTTGACCATAATTTAGAGTTACAACCTGGGAGGTAAAACTGTGATATATATCAAAGGGATTTTGTGTGTTTGTGTATTGTTTTGATGAGCAAATTTCGAGATGCAGCTAAAGCAGACTTTGTTTTCTGAGTGCAGGAGGTGTCTACGACAGTAGTGGTGATATTTACAATATAAATAGTTCGTGGAACAAAGGTTTGGTTCTGGCGTGAATTTGATGAGAATTTAAATGATAATGAGTTAGTGGCCAGCATGGGCCTACTAGTCACTGGAATAGGATTTTCCACTTTGAAGCTAATTTCTAAAAGGTGCAATTCCACTCTGTGAAAGCAGAAATTGCAATAGCATCAATCAGTTGGTGGGAAGATTTAGAGGAAAAACAACCTATGTAATGGACATCCTTTCAGCAGGTGTAAAATTACCAGTAAGATTCATTTTGCTGCCTTGATGGAGCAGAGTTATATCTTTCTTGGGTGGTTCCCAAACTCAGAGTTTGTATATGATTATGTGTTGCACTTAAAATGACATCATGCTTCAAAATAGCATAAGAAACAGAGAAATAAGTTTAGTCTGAACTCTCTAGTTCCTTTCAGTTCAGTTTCTCTTTCCATTTTAAAACTGTATCTGCTTGTCACCAAAAGATGCTCCAAAAAGGAAAGAACTGATAAAACTGAAATTATTTATATTCAAAGCCATAGCTCAGGAAGAGTAGAGTCCACTTCACAATACCTTTGTTCACTCCAGGAATGAAAAAAAATGTAATGAAAAGGGAGCATTAGAAATGTTTGACCTACACTTTGTTTGAAATGATAAATGTACAAATAGCCAATAGTTTCAATTTCAACAGCAATGGAAAGAGTAATGTTTTAGGGACTTTTTTTTCCTCTCTTGATTTTTTTTTTTTTGAAGCAGATGACCTTTCAAATATCCTATATAGGCAGACAGCAAGAAAGAGCCGGGGGTAATACTGAGGGGAAATTGGTGTCTTGCAACAAAAGACCCATGAGGGAGATAGCTCTTAGAAGTTAAAAGTTGATGTTTACCCTTTTAAAACATCTTCCTGCTGGAAGATTTTCCTTATAAGAGTGCTTTTGTCTCTGAAGATAATCAAAAATACACTGAACCCAAAAGGCTGTAATGGCAAGTTCTTTCAAACCTAATGCCTCTGTTTTGAGGCAGTAAGTAAGTATAAAGTCAATGTACCTGAAGTCTCTGGCTGACAAAGTAGGATTTGTTTGCTGGAGCAAACAAATATCATTGTCGAATTCATCATTGTTACCTCCTCAAACTAAATTATTTCTGTTTCTTGAGTCCCTGAACAGCTATTTACTTCAGAGTATTAGAAGAGGACTATATCACTGATAAAAACATTGCTTTCTAATTTGACAGTATTTTGGTCTGGAGCAATTTTAAATGTGCAGCCATAAATAAGTTCATAGACTCTTCAATTGTGAGAACAGAAGCTGTCTTGTCTTCATTTCAAAGATCCAATTCACAGACCAGCCAGTTGCACAAGTGCAAGGTACCTTACATGCCTGAACACACCTAGCAACTTACGAAGGCTTTAATTAATAGATGGCTTGACATGCTAAAAGGCATGTCCAAACAGACTGTATGCAAGCATCTAGATGAAAAATATGAGCTGAAAGAAGGAACATCCCATTCAGCGATGTTCATGATATTGTACTTCTGGAAAATGTGTAGCTGCAAAGATTGCTCCCTGCACTGTAAGATTCAGGTGGCTGGGCACGCAAAATTTCTGTAGGAAGAAGTTCTGGATACTTCCAAGAACACAAAAAAGTCAAAGAAAGCCTCAGTGCTGCAGTTCTGTTCATCTCTTCTCTTACCCTTTTTTCTAGTTGCAGAAAAACTGTGC